GGCAGAGTGGCTAGGGGCGATCAAGCAGGCAGGTGAGTGGTTAGGAGACAGCAGTCCCGGATTGTGAGAGGGATGTCCGACTGCCGGTTTAGGCCCAATCCCACAGGGCCATGAGGGATCCCACAGGGACTGAACCTAAACCGGCAGTCAGACATCCCCCGAGGGGTCCCAGACTGGAGAGGGTGCAGGCTGGGCTGAGGGGCATTCCCGCCCCCCCTCCTTGGTGCACAAATTTCATGCACCAGGCCTCTAGTTCTATACATTCAATCCCAATAAAAATCCCAGCATAAAATAAAAGTTGATAAGCTGATTTGAAAATTTATATGGAAATCTATAGGAATGAGAATAGATAAGCAATGCTGAAAAAGAATAAATATTGAAAAAGTTAAAAGACTTATAGTACCTCACTTCAAGATTTGCTATAATAAAGTATTAATTGAGCCCTGGCCAGTGTGACTCAGTTGGTTTAGTTTCATCCTATGCACCAAAAGGTTGCTGATTTGATTCCTTGTCAAGGCACATGCCCAGGTTTTGGGTTTGATCCCCAGTGGGGGTGCCTGCAGGAGGCAACCAATCAATGTTTCTCTCTCACATTGATTTTTTTTTCTCTCTCTCCCTTTCCTCATGCTCTAAAAAAATTTATTTTAATCAATAAAATAGGTTGAAATTTCAAAATGTGTTTTTAAAAAGGTTTTAATTGAAGAAAACTTATTTTTGGTTTGCAAAGCGATTGAATATGTTTATCACCCTAAATGAGATAGTACACAACTGACTTTACAGTTATAAATATATTAGTCTTCTATGATAATTTTAAATCCCTAAGCATCTAATAAGCACATAGCATTGATCTTGTCCTATTATCAGGAGAAATTTTAGAGCCTCAGTTCTGTCTAGTTTTCCATATATCTAGGTATGTTTGCTTTCAAAAAGCAGCTGGTTAAGGAAAATGTGGACTGGATCTAGAGAAGAGAAACACTACTAAAAAGAAGTTGGCTACTGAGAGGAAAGGGTTTATTAGTTTATTTCCAAACCAAAGTAATCTTTAAATCCAGCGACTATGAAGCCCCTTCAGATATTTCATGGATGTTGGTGTGGACAAAAAAGGGGCTACCTACTAAACCTGACAATCTCAGGGGAAGTTTGCATGGTGGGCCTTAAAAACTCAGAGACTGAAAGTAACCATATAGGATGTTCTGAACACAAAAATTCCTAACTAAAAGCGAGTCACAAAAAAAATATCTTAT